GGAGTGTGGCTTTAACATGTCCATTAATTACATTCCACTGCCACCCTTTCTTCAAGGAATTCCATTACCAGCATTTTCACTACTCATTACAACCTCCCTGTGAGGCAGGTTTGGTTGAGAGTGATTTGCCCAAGGTCACCTTCCTGGCTGAATGAGAATTTGAACGTGGCTCAAGTGCCAGCGAGTGTTGCAGTCCAATCCTCTAATCCAGGGGTCCTCAACCCCTGATCCACGGCCCGGTGCCAGTCTATGGGCTTGCCGGAACTGGACCGCAGATATGGATCTCCGCCCCCCCACATGTGGGGGGCATGTCGTGCACGGGGGTGGTGGAGATCAGTATCTGCAGTGCCCCGGCGCCTCTGCACATGGTGCCCCCGCACCCCCGCACATAGAGCTCACTCCCCCAACCGGTCCGCGGCCCCTAAAAAGTTGGAGACTGCTGCTCTAATCCCTACACCCTGAAAGGAGATGCCAGAATCCTGCATTTTTGCAAGTAAAAGCGATTGTTTCAGCAGTGTAGGAAGAAGCTGTAGGAGGAACCCTTCACCTAAATTTGTCCTACAAAGCAGTGACTGTTAGAATGGGTGTCCTGTTTGGAAACTCCAACCCTCATAGGAAGTGCTTTTAAAGAAGAGGTGCAAGGCTACGTGAGTGTAGGAGGAAAATGTCTGGACCCGATTCCTTATTTTTCAAAAGTAAGAGTATTAATTCCGGCTTCTGGAATTTGCACAATGTACACATTGTAGATTTTGAGTTCTGGTAGCAAAATCATTATTCTATTGTCTTCTGATTCTTCAGACAAGGGGGCTGAACGGATTTTAGGAATAAAGGCACTTGAGAACCCCCTCCCCCAGTCTCCATACCTCTGTGCTATATGAGTTCTCCTTCATTTGTTTTTTGTGTTTTTTAGTTTAAGCAGATATGCAGGAATACAATTCTTGTTTCCATGGTGGCTGGGGAAGATGGGAGCTATGATAGCATGCATCTGGAAGGCAACAAGGTAGGGAAGGCTGTTCCAGGTAGAACAGATGGTCAAGAGTTCAGTCAGCTTCTGCCATCCTTGACAATCCAGTGTTGGCTTGAGCGATGGAGTCCAACCAAATTTCAGTGACCACAGAAACCCACTTCTATTCTCCAGTTACTGTACTTTTATAGCTTGTCCAGCAGATATATAGCATGGTATGTCCTGCCTGGGAAAAGCAGGTAAATCTCATGATGGAAGTGGATGGGGTGAAGTTGAGAAATAAGGGCAGATACAGAAGACATTTTGGGGGGAGGGCGTGTTAATCTGAATGGGTTATCTTTTCCCTCATGGTAGTATGTTTCCGTATAATGGGGGATAGCCTTTCTCCCTTCTACTCAATTTAAAAAGAGAGTGGCAAGAAATACATACTGCATCGTCTCCATCATCATACCTACGCCTACACATCCCTGTTGAAAACATAGTGCAGGTGGTTTTGCATTTTGTTTCCTCCCCCATTTTTGCAAAAGTTGTATCTGTCCCATGCTACAGTGCAAAAATACTGACCCTTGAAAAAGCTCAACAAGAATAGTCTTCCAAAACACACAAATGTGTAAAAGTGGAAGACACGCTTGGCTCAATGAGATCATTATTTGAGCCATTTTGGACTGTTGTACATGCACTGTTTTCAGCTGTTGCAGTGCAGATGCTGGGGTAGGCTTAGAAGAGGTGGGGGGAGCAGGATAACATTTAACTGGAAATAGCAAATGTCAAGTCTCCAACAAAGTTATGAGTTAGTGGGGAGATTTCCCTTCACAACAACATGGCAAGTACAGTGGTGCCTCGTATAACGAGTGCCCCGTTTAACGACGAATTCGCATAGCGATGGCATTTGTACCATCACTTTTGCGATCGCATACCGAGGGTCGTCTTATACACGGAGATAAGCTGAGGAAAGAACAAAAGTAAGTGGAGGGGAAAGCAGGGATCAAAGTGACCCTGCGGGGCTTTGATCCCTGCTTTCCCCTCCACTTGCTAAGATTTCTTAATTTTGGGTTAGAAAAGTGGTGTGTCTTATACATGGGGGCGTCTTATACATGGAAAAATGCCGGGAGACAATATACAGCCTTGTCTTACTCCTTTCCCAATGTTGAACTAATCAGTTTTTCCATATCCAGTTCTAATTGTTGCTTCCTGTCCCACATATAGATTTCGCCGGAGATAGATATGGTGATCAGGCACTCCCATTTCTTTAAGAACTTGCCCTAGTTTGCTGTGGTCTGCACAGTCAAAGGCTTTTGCATAGTCAATGAAGCAGATGTTTCTCTGGAACTCTTTGGCTTTCTCCATAATCCAGCGCATGGGTGTCATCAGCTGGTCTTTTGTGTGCAGTGATCACTGGTCCTTGTGGCTGGGTAGTTCGTTGATCTTTTGCAGGCTGCATCTGAGTTCTGACTCATGTCCTCTGAAGATGCCAACCACAGAGACTGGCGAAACGTTAGGAAGAAAAACCTTAAGAACACGGCCAAGCAACCTGGAAAACCCACAACAACCATCGTATCCCAGCCATGAAAGCCGTAGACAGAGATTAACTGGTTTCATTGAAGAACCTTAAGTAAATATGGACGAGGTCAGTACCTTGGACTACAGGAAACACCCCACTGGAGTGAGGTAAGGAAAACAGTAAGTGTTTTTAAGGAAACATTATCGCTAGGCTCAAGATTCTGGATCATAGGACTCATCTTTTCTAACACATGGGCTTTAGCAACCTATTGAGTCATGAAATCATCTTTTCCAGGTAAAATGCATTGATTTGGATTCAGTATTATTCCTCTATAGTTCTTGTCTTTTCCAAGCCTCTGCATTCCACATTACAAGGGCTAAGCCAATCCTTCAGTGGAAACAACTCAACGTTCTAGCTACAGAGAAAGACTCCCACCTAATGTTTACGGAAGGGAAGTGCAAAGAAGGAATAATGAAAGCCTTTTGCTTATCAGTTGTTTTCCCACCCCTAGCAAGCCTCTTTCCCGTCCCTTAGCCACAACTAGGTCCACAGTTTTGAGCCTGGGGTCTCCAATGATAGAAAGTGTTTTCACATAAAACATTTTGACAGGATCACAAGCAAGGAGACAAATATTTCAGCTATTTTAATTTGCCAGTGCCACTAAATAGCATCTATACACTGTAAATTCATTGAAGTGGTGGTGGTGGGAACCTGGGAGCTGCTTTCATTTTAATTCAGAGGAAAGGCTGCCACTGAATGGCCCACTTCTTCAGAGCCGTTTTAGCACCAATGTGTGACTTTGGAAAAGAAAGCAACAACAAAGATATCGCATTTTTTCCTAACAATGAGCAGTAGCTCTTTTTAAAACAGGAAACAAGCGCTCTTGCACTTCCTTCATAGCCTCTCAAGACATGTTGTACAAATAGATTATAACATTTAGATATGATTGATCCTTCTTCAAAATATTAAAAAATAAATAAATGGATGGATGGCCCTAGCCAAGAGACATCCTAATCACTACCATCTGCCTGCATAGATTGGCAGAAATCCAGTAGTAAGCTACAACTAGAGTAGGCCCTTTGAATTAGTAGATAAAGTGAGTCAACACTTATGTAAGTTCTGCTGCTTTGATGGGCCTACTCTAGTTGAAAGTTATTGCTAGATTTTAGCCAATGTGTTGTATACTGGATGCATTTAGAATGGTCTAATATGAGAATTTGCCTTATGTTGTATTAGACAATTTGGTCATATCGCCTCTCGTTATTTAATTGGACTGGCAGTCGCCCTCTAGAAACTCAGTCCAGGGAACCCTAAAGCCCTGTTGCTATCCTGGGAATACCTGCTGGCACAAATGTTGCCTTCACACATGTGCAGATTCCCATCCTAAATAGCTGGTTGGTACTCACACAAGGAGCTTTTGTATACCTCTTGGTGCAAGTGCTAAAACATCAACTCACTCACCGTAGACTTGTTGTACAGGAGGTTTGATCCAAACAGGACCTTTTCCACCTCCTTGTAACCTCTTCCATTTGTCCTCAGATTTTTCTCTTCTTGCTTTTCAGAACAGGTGTTTCACCAGCTACACTACACCCTCCCATATACTATGAATCTCAGAACTGAATATGGAGCATCCAACTCTCTGTATGCTCAGGTAGCACATTTCTGCATGACTGGGTATTTATACTGAGGCACCTATCTAGACATAATCCCAAATTGTTCTCAGCCGCAGAAGGCAGCACACTGATGCTTGTCAAGCAAAGCAGCCGTCAATCGCAGCTCTCTGAAGTGCATGATCTCCATGTACAAGGACAGCTTCCAATCCCTGCTTTTGTCCTACAGATTTAACACAACCAAGAAGCTGAGGACACCCTTGGCTCATTAAACTATTTGTCCTATTCAACTGATACTGACCTCCATTTACCAGGTGCAGTGAAAATGCAAGGAAGTAGGACCACTCATGGATCTTATTTATATGAACATAGATGATTAAAATATCTGACTGGATAGCTCAGTAGTATAGGTATCTGGCTGCAAAACCAGAGGTTGGAAGTTCAATTCCAGATGGTGCCCTCTGCGAACAAAGCCAGACTGTGTGGCCCTGGGCAAACTACAGAGTCTCTGGATTAGAGATGGGTGTATTCATACTGACGAACTGATGGGATGACGAGCCTCTCAGCCAGGTTGAGGAGTGGCTAATCCATTGCGAGCTCCGGAGCAACAGGAAGGGAGGACGGAGCCCATGGCAGCGGCAGAATGGTGAGTGGTTGGTTATCTGCACTGGTGGGGGGATGCTCGTATTTGTATATGAATATCCCCATCCGTACTCAGGATGCTTTCAGAAGAAGGAAAGGGTAAACCACTTCTGAGTACTCTCTACCTGGAAAATCCTGAAAAGGGCCACCATAAGACAGAATTGACATGATGGCACATCATTATTATTATTACATGATTAAAATATATTTTCTGCCACGTTGAAGTACAAATGAGATAAGAATCAAGAGGTAAGCTTTAAAAATTGTCTTCGAGACCCTAACATTAATACTTTTGACCAAATCCATTTTTAATGTCACACAAATTATGATACATAGAACAGCCACTTCTCTCCTTATCTGTTTTTGCAAGGCCACCCATTTCATCTTCGGATGCAAGTGCCAAACATTCAATCCACTCACCTCAGACCTGTTGTGCAAGTGGTTTCACTCAAGTAGGAGCCTATCCTCAGGCACAGATCAAGGAGAATAAATGTGTCCAGATTTTAAAAGCTAGCTGTCACATACCTTCTTTCAAACTTGCATGAAACTTGTGATGTAGAAATCTTATGTGCTCCCTGCTATCCTGATCTAAATGCTGCTTTTGGTAGTAGATCAAGAATGATTTCTGACTTTTTGTGAATCTAGTAGAAAATGTTTTGTTTTCATCCTTTAGAATAAGTACAAAATTAGTCTGCAAGAGATTACAACAGATAAACCTTGCTTGCTCCTTTGTATTCAGTTCATTTTAGCTCTTGTCAATGAGCCATTATATTGATAGTTGTCTATGAATGTCTTTGTTCATGAACTCATTCGAGCAGGCTTGCATGTTCAATCCGTGTAATAGTCCAGTCTGGTTTCACACCTTCTGTAAATTCTCTTCGGAACCTCAGGGATGAAAAAGAATACCAACATGAAGAGGCAGTAATAAAAAAATACCATTTACAACTAACCCAAATCCATTTTAAAGCCATCCCACTGCAAGTGTAGCATGAAATTAGTGAATAAAGTGTTGCACAGCATCATAAGAATACACTGAGATTTCGTTGTAAACGTCTTTAGAGAATCACAACTCCTGATTTATGTCAATAGAAAAAGAAGCACCGACACACTGGCCTTTATCTAAACAATTTGTTATGCCTGTGAGACATTTTCTCTTAGCTTGAACTTTTCTTTTACAACCTGAAAGGCTATAACTTTTCATCACCTTGCTTTAAAACCACCATAACAACATTCACATGTATTTAAAAAAACAACAACAAAGTTTCCAGATGCAATCACATCATACATTAAACTGTGCAAAACTGTAATGTAAATAAAACAGAGGGAAAAGAAAAAGCTCAATTCCTTCTCGTAGAATGGTACCAGGTATGTTTATTCCAAACCCAAATGCTGTCCCACAAATACAGTGGCGCCTCGCTTAACGAGCGCACCGTATAACGACGAAATCGCATAGCGATCCGTTTTTTCGGATCGCTAATGCGATCGCTCAACGTTTTTCTAATAGGGCAAAATTCGCTTTGCGAAGACCGGTAAGCGTTTCGCTTACCGATCTTCACAAAACGAAGCCCGACGATCAGCTGTTCGGCGGCCAAAATGGCCGCCGGAAGCCCGGAAATGGCCCAAAATGGCCGCGCACAGTGTTTTCGTGCCCTCGTTAAGCGAGGCGAGGGCGCGAAAATGGCTGCCGGCCATTAAGAAGCATCGCTGAACGGTGAGTATTCGGCCCATTTGGAACGCATTAAACCATGTTTAATGCGTTCCAATGGAATTCCCTGCCCCGTTCAACGATGCTTCAGCATAGCGAAGGTTAATCCGGAACGGATTAACCTCGCTATGCGAGGCACCACTGTATTAACTTTTCTGCATCCCAGGTGTATGCACTGCTATTGACTTTCCTATTTACCAGATTAGAGTAAAAAAATTAGAATCAGAGAATTTCATGTGCAGTTAGGCGCGCGCTTCTGCTCGCACGCATTTAAAGCCCAAACCCCGCCCCCTCTGACCATGGGGTCAGGGAGAATAAAGGTCAGCCTAGAAGAAAATACCTCCCCAAATAAAATGTCCTCCCAAACACAGCTCACCTCCTGCCTCAGCTCTTCTTTAAGAAAAGGTTTACAAGCTGGATAAAGCAGAAATCTCATGGCACAGGGCCATTATGCAAAGATCTCCATGAAAAGGAAACCTTGATAAAAATACATCAAATTCATTCAAGTTTCTTTCTATTCAGAACAGAGAGCCACAGTTGTACATCTGGAACAGACTTACTCATAACTTGCTGTCAAAAGATGTTTTGTCTTCCTTTCTGTTTCATTGTCAGAAACAAATCGGATCATTTTGATTCCATCATCAGGGAGGTCAGCACTTGAAAAATACCAGAAACGCACCAGGATGCTGACAAACTTTCTTCCTGGTTATGAGATAACAGACATGATAGAAACAGAAAAGATTTTATTAAAATAAAATATATATAAATAAATAAATAATCAGGGACATATGTTTCATTCAAGGAATAACACAACAGGCAGGTGCACCATTTTGCCATTTAAACTTGCTCATTTTACACTCTCGATTTTGTGAGAAAGTCATGCAAATACTACAGCTTGTACAAAAAGGAAGCCAGCTGTGAGAAAAAAGGCAGTAGGAGCCACAAGCTTCTTTGACTAGAAAGTGTTTTTCTCACTCCGTTCACCTAAGACCGAGGTCCCCAACCCCCGGTCTGTGGCCCAGTGCCGGTCCGTGGCCTGTGCTAGACCGGGCCGTGGAGAGAGACCTCCGCCCACCCCAGCATGCACTCCCCCCCGCACAGCCTGTTTGTGCCTGCGTGCCTCCGGCCACATGAGCTCCCCCACCACTTTGCGCATGTGCATGAGTGCCCCGAGAGCCACACCACCCTTTGCGCATGCACACAAGTGTGCACACGCACTGCACCACGCTTTACGCATGCACAAGTGTGCCCACCCACACGAGCACCCCCTGCTCCTTTGTGCATGTGCACCCATGCGAGAGCACCTACGCGCCTTCATGCATGCGCACGCACGCAAGGGGTGCCCCACCTTCCCCAGCCGATCCATGGGGCTAAAAAGGTTGGGGACCGCTGCTCTAAGATTCCTGGTTGCCTCTTGTAAATGCTGAGAATTCCTTCCTCTGTTTTTACATGTGACTTTCCTTTCCAGCCATTGCCCAGGCTTGTTTAACATATGAGCAGAGTGGTAGTTCATGAAGAAGCCATTCTCAGGCTCATGGGCACTTGCTGGTTGCCTCCACAATAAGGCTGTTGAAAGAGACCTGGTGTCTCCTCTCCTGACCTTCCTCTTTCTCTCTTTCCTCTCTGACAACACAGGGGGACTTCTGTACCTCCACACAACTCACCTCAAGGAAAGGATGGAGGAACACACATCCCTCCACAAGTTGTTGGAGTCCCATCGGCCACAGCCAACACCATCAATAATGAGCAAAGACAGGAGCTGTAGACTAATGATCTGGAGAGCCACACATTTCCTGTGTTTGACTAAAGTGTTTTCAGATCAAGGCCTTCACAAATGAACATTTTCAGTTTCTAAGCAGAGAAGCTCACGACTGAGGTGTGAATTAGAATGGGCACTGTAATTTCTACTTGTCATCTGTGTGGTTGTAAACGCAATGTGGGAACCAAGAAATTTCCTTATGCTCATCAGTCTTCAAGGACAGAAACACGCTACATCAGCGGGTTGTTAACACTGGGTCAGGCTACTGGCACATCTAATCCAGAATCCCCCTTGAGAGCCACTGCTTCTGCTAGCCAAAAGTCTTCAGGCTGTGGTTTCCTGCTGTTCAACATCCATTAACCTATGGTAACAGGATTTGGGCCTAGGATCCCTGGATAGATGATATATACAGTAGGGCTGCAATCGCTGCAGAGAGGGATTCCAAGCCCCACTCCCTGCAGATTACAAAAAGCACAGAAATAGCAATCGCCATACATAGCATGGTCTCCTGCTCCCTCTAGTGGCCATGTATTTCTGGGGTTTTTTAATTGAATATTTTCAGGCAATAAGATGAATGAATCCACAGATACTATTAGAGATTGCAGCTGGACTTAACGAGGGTCCAGCCCCCGCATTCTGCTGCGGTGGCAGCCCCACTCAGCCTTCCAATTGCGCCCAGAGCTCTGCTCTCTTCCTGCTTGGCTGCCCACTCCAGGTAGGAGGAGGGAGGACGAGTCTCCCTGCATGGGTGCCAAGTGGGAAGAGCGCGGCACTCTGAGCGCGACTGGAAAGATGAGCAGGGCCGCTGCTGCAGCAGGACACAGGAGTGGACAGTCTGACCCCAGGAGCCAGACTCTTGCTAAGTCCAGCTGCAGGGATGTGTGTGTGTATTTGTATATGAATACCCCCATCTCCAATTACTGAACCTGCAGATAGGGGGTCCTACTGTACTCTGTTTCTATGTACTGGACCTTTCCAAACAAGGCTGGCAATTGACTTACCTACTAGCTAATGAAGAGATCTCCCTGGAAAAGACCCTGATATTGGGAAAGTGTGAAGGCAAGAGGAGAAGGGGACGACAGAGGACGAGATGGTTGGACAGGGTCACCGAAGCTACCGACATGAATTTGACCAAACTCCAGGAGGCAGTGGAAGACAGGAGGGCCTGGCATGCTCTGGTCCATGGGGTCATGAAGAGTCGGACATGACTTAACGACTAAACAACAACAACAACTAGCTAAGAAATGTAATTAAAATGCCTTCTCTGCCACATCCTTCTTTATTTTGGCTGGCAAAGACACCTGGCTTGCTTTGGGTTGATACAAAGAGCATCTAAGAGGTGCCAAATCATTTATAGGAGCCCAAGCAACATACAAGCTATGCACACTGTAGCATTGAACTTGGTGGGATAACATGGCACTTTCATCAGCATTACGTGAGATCATTTCTGCAACAGCCCTTGAAGAACCAAAAGGAAAGAAATCTGAAATGGATGCCTACCACTATCATCGTAGTAAATGCCAACATCTCCAGGTGCTGTGAACATTATTTCATCCATGGTGGCAGCAAGGGCATGCTTGTGGTTTTCAGACAGCAAAGCAAGCTTCTCCTTCAGCACCTGAATCACCTGATTTAGGATGAGAATTGTTATCTTAAGTCCTGAAGTTCAACAGAGATTCTTGAATTCTACTCCACGAGAGTTATGGAAATATAACGGGATCTTCTACACCCACCACTCCAATATCTAAGCAAATTCATAACTAAGCAGCAAAAATCCTGACATGCACTCTCAGTGACACTCAGTTCTCTCATATCCTGTATAATGCCTGTTACCAAACAGAGTGCCTGGTTGCCAAATATCTACAAGAGGGATAAGATATTTCAATATGTTTTGCACAAACTTAAGTTTTATGGGAGTTAGACTAGAGGATGAAGGAGTCTGCAGCACACTTATGGAAGGAGAGCTCATTCCTCTTGCTGCGTCATGCTTTGCTTGCTCTTTCTCTCTCCTTTTCTCACACTATGCTTAACAGAATTTCTAGGCTCAGCCCTACATGGAAGTTAGTCTCCAATCAGGAGTCTTTCCTCCAATGAGTTGCTGATTGTTGAGATCATTCATTGATGGGAGGGAGGACTTGGTCTGTGGTCAGCGGCACTGTTCCTAGTATTCATACATGTCTCAGGAGTGATTTTCCCCAATGCAAGAAGTTTTAGAATGGTGTCTTAGGAAGCCCTAGCTCAAATGAAGTCCTATTTCAGAGACAGTACCAGAACTAAGAAAGCAACGTTAGAGGTGAGTTAGACCAGAAAGAATAAGAGGTGACAGTGGCTAGGTTACAAACATCAGTGCATGCAGAGAATCTGTTTCTTAGCTTAGTTCAAGGGAGAGAAACCCCCAGTTTACAGCCTGATCTGGAACACTTGGGTTGAAACAATTCCCTGGGCACCAGATCTCCTCAGGAGGCTGAAACAGGTTTAAACTAGGAGACCTGGACAGCCAGGGAACTAGCTTTGTTTATATCTTGCCTCCATGCAGAATTGGGAGCAGTACAGGAATTAAATCTACTCAACTGGTGTTTTAAGAGCCAGGATTCAGCTGGCTCTTAAAGCACCAGCTAAATCCCCCCTTGTCCTCACTTGTAGTTAAGCAAAAGTTGAGAGTAAATATGACTTGACCCCCATCTTTCAACCTTAATGAGTTTGAATTATCTTCTATGGTGAAGTATCAGGTTAAGCAACAATAAAAATACCTTGTTTTTACTATAACAATAAACAAATAAATGGGTTTTCTTACCTCTTTTGATACAAGTTCCTCCAACAGATCATATTTACATTGAGATATTAGTCTTGACACATAAGTGAAAGCCTAGGACACAAGACAGATAAAAATCTTTGCTTACTAAGAAGTATGTGCCTCTGAATTCAGTGGAATATACCCCGAAGTCTGCACATGACTGCAGTCAAAGCTGCACTAATATATTCACAACCACTGAACATTTTCCTTCTCCAGCTTTCATGCTTATGCTGAACATTGGTTCTCCTGCAAAACCACTGTAATTAGAAGCCAAGGCAATGACAGTTATAGTGGTCAAGTAGTAGCCCAGAATGTAATACAGTGGTGCCTCACTAGACGATGATAATCCGTTCCACTGAAATCGCTGTTTAGCGAAATCATTGTCTAGCGAAAAGCATTTCCCCATTGAATGCATTGAACCCTCTTTAATGCGTTCCAATGGGGAAGAATTGTCATTGTCTAGCGAAGATTGGCCATAGGAAAGCCGCTTTGCGAACAGCCGGTCAGCTGTTTAAATCGCTGTCTTGCGAAGCTTAGGTCCCGAAAACACCTGTTTCTGCGAGTGCGGAGGAAGCTGTTAAAATTGTCGTCTAGCGAAAATCGGTTTGTGAAGCAGGGACCAAACATTGTCCAGCGAAATACCCCCATAGGAATCACTGTTTTGCGAATCGCTATAGTGAAAAAACTGTCATGCGGGGTAACTGTCTAGCGAGGCACCACTGTATGGTGTTAATTTGGTTACAGAATATTTTTTAAAAAATTTTTTTATTTTGGCAATCGACCATATTACAAATAGTAAATACAAAGCAATTCCCCACATTTCTCCAACTCACATATATACCATTCCCCATCACCATTTAAAGAAATATTGACCAACAATCTAAATTTCTTTTCAAACCACATGTCTCAAAGTCTATTTTGTCGACGTATTTTAATAATGGCTTCCAATTTTTCGTGAATTTACTATGGCTTATTTCTCCTCTATGTAATCTAAATTTATTGGTCATTTTTTCCATCAGCAATGTATGCCATATTTTACTTGTGAATGCTTGCAATGAGAGATCTTGGGCTTTTTCCCAATTTTTAGCTATTTCAGATTTTGCGGTACCTATAAGATTTGCAACTAACTCTTTATATTGTAGTTTCTCATTTTCCCCCATGAATAATGAAAATAACATTAATGTTTCATTAATATCTATTTTTTGATTAGTCAGTGTTTCTATCCATCTAACTACCTCCTGCCAAAAAGTTTCTATTTTGGAGCAAGAGATCCACATATGTTCCAGAGTTCCTTTTTGTCCACAGTTCCTCCAACATTTATCAGATATATCTTTATTAATTCTATTTAGTTTTGTAGGGTATAGATGCCACCGATGCACTACCTTTAGTACCGTTTCGTTTGCACTTGCTGATATAGATTTATATGGGTATTTTTTCTAGATTCCTGTCCAAATTTCCTCAGATATATTAATATTTAAATTTGTTTCCTACAATGTTTTACATCCTCCACCTTTTCCATATTCTTTCTCAATAATGCTTTTATATATTAGTGAGGTTAGTCCTCTCTTTTTATTTTTTATCTTTTTGTATACAATATTGTTCAAATTCAGTTAATGTTCTTAGAA